AACTTGGATATTCAGCTTCCTTTCCAAATTCTTGCCATTGTTTGGCATCTTTTATAAGTTGAAGTTTACTGTAATCGCACTTCGTTTTTATTTTTTGTGTCAACATAGAAGCACATACTGAACAAGTTGGCCCAGATAAAATGAGGAATAAACCTTTCCATATCTGCACAATTTGCATGCAATCCTCTGATGATTTTGTCTTGTCCTGAAATAGTACGTGTATACAATATACTCTCATTAAATGTGGTCTAGAAAACAGAACTGGTGATCAGTAAAATCCCCCTATGATACATGTAGGATTACAGTCATTGACGTCACCTCCTGGATCTCAGACGCTCATGATAGACTTGTCTTCATAATTGGCTCAATCGTAGACCATACCTGTATGCTCCAATTTATAGGACAGTAATGTCATCCACATTGAAACATCATCTGGCAAATGCTCCAAAATATCCCAATTGCATACAGTCATTAATGTATTAAATCATAGACGCAAGAAAGAACAGAGACACTCAAAAATAGTCGAAGGAAATGAAAGTGTCTGTTGCGCATCATGATTTGAATTATGTGAGTGGATGTCATTCCATCCTTCATCGCAGTTGGTAACGTTTTTTTCAGTACTATAGCTCAGTCGACTTTCGCCAAATCACCGTATGCTTTAGGCAGTGATTCCATGCTGTACCCTCATATTGCAGTTGATCACATTTTTAGTCCCCATTTGCATTCAGTCCGAAAGCGTGGACTTATGGATTGACCTCTGTGCATGCATCTGGACCTATATCCTAGACATGCCTCGACCAATTACATTCAAACTTCACACATACATCATACCTAATATTATACATATGCACGATTTGATTCAAGATGGCCAAATGGCAGCCATTTTTAGACCCTGTTCAGACGCAGTTTGAAAACGGGGACTTGTGTTTTGACCTCCGTGTGTCCATGCGTGCGTGCGTGCGTGCGTGCTTGCGTGCGTTCGGACCTGTATCTTAGAAATGCCTGGACAAATCACAATCAAACTTTACACATACATCATACATGATATTATACATATGCACGTTAATTTGTTTCACGATCTGATTCAAAATGGTCGAATGGTGGCCATTTTTGTGCTAAACAATTCTAAAAATCAAGCATTTCTCGGCTGTTTACAGATGGATTTTGTTCAAACTTAGTGTATACATTAGACATTATGGGACCTTGATGCAAATAATTTTGTTTTTCAGATAAGATTCTAAATGGCCAACTGGCGGCCATTTTGTTTTAATGAATGTGGTTCTTGTGCCATATCTCTGACTTGCTTTGACTGATTATGTTCAAATTTTAAATATTCATTATACATCATGTCATAGAAAGACAGATATATTGGTTTGACGATCCTATTCAAAATGGCCAAATGGTGGCCATTTTTGTGCTAAAAAATCATCAAATATCAAGCATTTCTGGCATTTATGGATGGATTTCATTCAAAGTTGGTATATTAGACATTACAGGTTCCTGATGCACATCATTTATTTTTCAGATCGGATTCAAAATGGCTGTCTGGCGGCCATTTTGTTTTAATGAATGGGCTTCTAGACCCATATCTCTGACTTGTTTTGACTGATTATATTCAAATTTTAAATATTCATTATACATCATGTCATAGATAAACAGATATATTGGTTTCATGATCCTACTCAAAATGGCCGAATGGTGGTCATTTTTGTGCTAAAAAATCATCAAATTTCAAGCATTTCTGTCATTCTTGGATGGATTTCGTTCAAACTTGGTACATACATTAGACATTACGGATTCCTCATGCACGTCATTTTATTTTTCAGATTGGATTCAAAATGGCTGACTGGCGGCCATTTTGTTTTAATGATTGGGGTTCTAGAGCCATATCTCTTAAATGCTTTAACTAATTATATTCAAATTTTATATATTCGTTATACATCATGTTATATATATACATGTATTCAAAATGGCTGATTTTGAATGCTGTTCCAGAGCAATATCTCTCAATATGGACAAGTACTTGTTTAACTATCAGATACAAATGTCAATCATTTTAATGTTAAAAAAATCATATTCCTGACATGGTTATATTCCAGCTATATTACTTTAAACAAAACTATATATCTTAAATTTGATAACTAACGGGGACTGTGCCATGCATGGCTTGTTGTACTGAAAAATCATCAAAATCAAGCAATTCTGGCATTCCAGAACCGGTTCTCAGCTGTTTACATATGCATTTTGTTGAAACTTGGTACATAAATTGGACATTATGGGTCCTTGGTGCACATCATTTTGTTTTTCAGATCGGATTCAAAATAGCCGCCTAGCGGCCATTTTGTTAGTCCCCGTTCGGACGCAGTCCGAAAACGGGGACTTATGTTTTGCCCTGTGTGCGTCCGTCCGTCCGTGCATCCGTGATCACCTGTATCTCGAACATGCATGGACCGATTAAGTTCAAACTTCACTCATACATCACACATTATATGGGACATATGCACATGCATATTTTTCATGATCTGATTAACGATAGCCGAATAGCGGCCATTTTAAGGCCGAAAATGCATCAAAATCGCACATTTTCACCATTCCGGACCCGGATCTCAGTTATGCATGGAC